CATTATAGTAGGCATATTATTAAATATTATACACAGCATGTTAAAATCGATTAAAATAATGTATACATATGTATCCTACTAATAATTCGGATATTCGGATGATAAACGCCTGCAACATCATCAATTAGACCTTAAAGGTCCCCCCCCCCCCCACTTTTTGGCGAAAAAATATATAAAAATATAGAATGTCTGGAGATTTTTGTATGATCGGAAATGCAAAAAAAAGAAGAAGGGAAGAAGGATGGGAAAGGAATGTTTATCCAGTACCCAACCGAGTTACATTTTCTCGCAATTCACATTGGCGGATCTGGGGGAGGGGTCATGGGTCCTGACCCCTCCCTTGGGCAACAAAAAAGGGAAAAGAAAAGAATTCTAAACATATCTTTTCAGAACCTGTGAGCTGATTTTTTTTTTCTTTTTGCGATTAGAAAATTATAAATTTGAAGAACATAAAATTCATTAAAACACACTTCAAATGTCAGGAAAACTCAATTCCCGCCATCTAGGAATCAAAATTTTCCCGGGAGAGAACCCCCGGACCACCCTTTTTTTTGGGATTTATCGATTCATGGAAAAAAGAATACGCATGCAACTACAACTGTAACTATATATATACACTTAATAAATCTTATTATTATTATTATTATTATTATTACACACACATAAAATGAAAAATGAGAAAAATTTACCTGACCTTTTTCAAGAGGGGAAAACCTTGAATTTTGTAGAACTTTAAAAGGAATTTCAGAAGTCGAAAAGCTCATCTCCCGCCATCTAGAAATCAAAATTTTTCCGGGGGAATCCGGACCCCCTTTATCTTTGGAGTTCATTGATTAATTGAATCATTTTCAAGGGGGGGGGGGACCTTGAATGTTGAAGAATTTAAAAGTCATTAAAAGACACCACAGAAGTCGGGAAAGCTCATTTCCCGCCACCTAGGAATCACAATTTTCCCGGGGAAGTACCACAGGACCCCCCACCCCCACACCTTCCCCCCCCTCACCCTTTCTTTTTGGGATTTATCGATTCATGGAAAAACTACGTATGCAACTTACTCAATCCTTTTTCATGTATGTATACACACATAATGCCTATTTACTGTATTAACAATGGGAAAAATTATCTGACCGTTTTCAAGAGTGGAAAACCTTGAATTTTGAAGAACTTAATGACTTTCAAGTTCTTCAAAATTCAAGGTGTTCCCCTCTTGAAAATTATTATAATGAATCAATGAACCCAGAAAAATGGGAAGTTCGGGTTCTTTCCGGGAAAATGTTGATTTCTAAATGGTGGATGAGATTTCCCGACTTCTGAAGTATTTTTTAATGACTTTAATTTAAGACACCTCAGAAGTCGGGAAAGCTCATTTCCCGCCTTCTAGGTATCAAAAGTTTCCTGGGGAAGAACCTCCGGACCCCCTTTCTTTTTGGGATTCATCGATTCATGGAAAATTCGTATGCAACTACTCATTTTTTTTAAATTGTTATGTATGTATACACACATAAGCCCTATTTATTGTAATAACAATGGGAAAAAATTACCTGACCGTTCTCAAAAGTGGAAAACCTTGAATTTTGAAGAAATTAAAAGTAATTAAAGACACGTCAGAAGTCGGGGGAAAGCTCATTTCCCGCCATCTAGAAATCGAAATTTTCCCGGGGGAGGAATGTTCAAAAAGAGAAGAGAAAAATAAAGATAAGAATAAAAAGGAAGACATAATGAACAGATATCACAATACCCCGGCCTGCAACCCCTTCTCCACTTCAAAAAGTGTCCATAGCGCATTTGATCTAAGCCGCCAGATATTCTCCGCAGTGGCGTAAGCACCGGGGGACAAAGGGAAAATATCCACCTGTGGAAAATCTTTCCATATTGAATGCCCTTTTCACTTGGGAAAGTGCCTGAAAACCTCAAATTTTTTAATCTTCAAGCTTGTGCTTGCTCTCTTTTGCCTTCGAAGTTATAACACATATTCTCAAACTCAAGAAAGAAAATTTAAGATAGATCGTTTACCTAAAAGAAGGGCCTCAATGTGTAATGATGTTGAAAGAATATGTTTGTAATAAATAAAGCCATAAGGAAAATGCTTATATTCAGTTTAAAAGAGTGTGGCCATATATAACATAAGAGCATTTCTTGTTGAGGTAGGCCAATTTCCTCTAAAAATTGCACATTTAGGGAGTTTTGATCAATTCCGACGAAATTAGAATTGAAAACACACAAATTTTTCGCGCGCATTTCTTAGGGTTAAAGCTTGTGCTTGCCCTCCTTTACCTTCTGGGTTATTTAAAATGCTAATAGTCCCAAACTTGAGAAAGAAAATTTAAGATAGATCATTTTACCTAAAGGAAGGGCCTCAATGTGTAATGATGGTGAAAGAATAGGCCTATGATTTGTCTCTTATACACATCTAGATGTGTATAAGAGACAGCCACAGAACCTCCCCCACCCCACTACAACATTTTTTGGCATTGTCTAAAAATTAAAGTCTTTTCATCCTTAACACTTATCTCTAGGGGGATTACCCACCCCGGTGTCACTTCGTGAGCAAACATATTTTACTGATATGCATGGTGCTACTAACATTGTTTCGGCCCGTGACCCACGACTCGTCGTTGCACCACTGGGAGGACCATGTCTATTAATGTTACAACAAATCAATCAGCCAGCCAATCAAATATATTATACAGCACGTAACATAACGGTACCATTGTACATAGTTACAAGTATTTACTGTATATAGAATCATCAATAAATATTGGCCCCTATCCGGGGTTCATTTGGACTCGGAGGAACTAAGCATTTCCCCAGAAAGCAGACTGGGGTACATATCTGGTCAAACCTCCTTTGTAAAATGATAGGTCGTAGTTGGACTGACCCCTTCTAATAAATCAGTTTTGAACTGGGACTTGGCCCATAAAGCACATGCGTTATGCACGATTAAGGCTCAATAGTAAAATGCTAGTTAGTAGTAAGAGAACCCACCCGCTCCCCCACTCCACCCCGAGAGCTCACGAACATAGGCAACTGGGTCCTGTTTATTTTTTAATAGTATGCCATAATCAGATTTACAGGACAATATATGAAAAACTACACAGTTTCTGATATGTATATACTGGAAAGCATAGCTCATCATTGGCAGAGCTTTCAAATGATGCCAAACAAAACAACTTTTAGTAAGTTTGATTTTTTTTACCTTTGACCTTTTGTTTGTGTCATGCGACTTTATATATTGGTCTATATCGCTGTAGATATGTATTATGTTGTTTAGGTGTAGTGACAATAAATGATCAGTGTATAATTCCCTTTCCACTGACACCAATCATGACCATGTTTTATGTGGTGCGTTAGCCATCTTGAAATTCAAAATGGCGGTCGATGCCGTTGGGAAAAAAAGTGGCACCTAACTTTTTTGAATTCAGCGCAGTAAAAATGATAAAATTAGTAAATAAAATCTATTTTTGCACAAAAAACTATCTGGATTACACAGAAAACTGTACTAGTAGCTTACATACTCGTTCTTATTTTATGTACATTTTACGTATATATTGTGATTACAAATAAACATCTATTTTTTAATTATGTTCCATTCGGGTTTGAGTGACAGTAGTTTTTTATATGTCTAGTTTGTTGCCTGTCTAGAAATTATGAGTTTAGACACCAAAATCATATCTGTAGCTTATTTAGTTCCAATTTTATGCACATTTGAAATTTGGCGGCCATTTTGAAAAATGGCTGCCATTTATATACAAGGCATAAAATCAAGTGTCAACAGGGCTTAGGGTGACCAGAAGGGATTAATTAGGATATCTGGCTATGTGGATTGCTTCTAACATTCCACTCCCCCTAACTCATTTTATTCAGATTTTTTTCCTAGTCTATTTCATGTACAACCAATTTTGATTTTAATACTGTGTTTTGGAAGATTCGGTAGGGTCCTTTATTTCTGAACCGCATTTATTGCATATTATTGCCTTGTAAAGTTGGCATTTTGTTAACATCAGAAGATACAAAACATGAGTGCGAGTGGTTAATATATACTCATGATTTATATCAAAATAGAAGGCATCTCTAACGCCCTGGAACTTATTTGAAAAGCGGTGTTTATTCCATCATTGTATTTTGTGATGCTGATGTTTTGGGAAATTAACACTTTCTCGTGAACGAAAGCATTTGCAAACTGGCACATCTCTCACAAATTCAAAAAAGTTAGCACATTTCTAATACTGTACTGTATTCTCCCTGAAATCATCAGGCCCATAGGTATTTCACATGCAGGAAATAAAACCAAACCTGCCATCACTCAACACATTTTGATTTATACTACCACCAGCAACTGCCCAAAGCATCTACATTATACAGTAATTACGGTTACTTCAAAGGCTATGGGCATAATGCAAAACCGAGGCCTCAAAAACATCTGGGATCCAAAATCTACTGGTCTAAAAAAACAAACGTCAATCTTCGAAGTCTTGATCTCACAAAGTGAATATAATTCCATATTTCAGCTTACCGGTAATTGAGGCAAAAGATGATTTTTACTGTCTTTTTTCTCGATCTTTACCTGTTCCGACCACATGGTACTGTTTACGTGTCAGTGCCAAACGAGCAACATTAAATGTACATACATCTACATATATATATATGGATGTATGTACATCCGGTTTTATATGGAGTGCCAAAAGAGCATCCATATATATATATATATATCTGTATGTGCATCTGGTTTTATATGGAGTGCCAAAAAGGCATATTTCGAACCTTTGATTTGAAGTAAGTTTTTGTTTTCTCAATGAGTAAAACTGTTTACCTGCCCCTGAATCTCATCTCAGTGGTTTCTAAATATTTTTATGTTATGAAAAATGATATGAAACTGCTCTCAAAACCTGTACATGTACATACAATTCTCTACATAGGCATACAAGAGTTTTGGGGTTATACACACTGCAGTCTAATGTAAACATGCAAAATTTGAGAAAATGAACATTAAACAAAAGCACTAATCAGTCCCAATTTTGGGTTTCTCTTTAATTAGTTATTTCTTCACAATACCACCACAAAGGGATCGTAATATTTAATTAAACTGTGGAATTTTACTCAACCACGTCAAATATAGAATTGCTTGCCCATGTTTGCTATCACTGTTTTCAACTAACCATCGTTTAATTGTACACATTTATAATACTATAAAGTTCATGAGGTCGCTCCACGTCTCTTGGAAACATATCAAGATGCATTGAGGGTATTCTGGAAGCAGCCAAAAATTAAACTGATGTTAGCAACATTCAAATTATATTTATAAAATCCAATTTCTGTTTGCACCAAATGAAACCAGTTTTGGTTAACGGAAAAAATACACGATGTTTCTTCAAACACTCCAAAACTTCCCCCCTCCCTAATCAAAAGGCGACTCATTTTATTATTCGCTACAAGATGAGTCACAATTGCATACTAAATGGACTAGTAGCCCTAACATTTCAGGTGGCAATTGAAGTGTCAACTGCTACAGACATCAACCGAGAATACTATCAATGACATACACCTGTAAGCAAATGAGCAGTTTGAAATTTACATGCCGTATAAAATGTCAGGTTAAGTTATGATGAACGAAACAAGGTATTTGATAAAGACTGCTGCACATGAACAAATTCTGCTTGGCTACCAGACTTACAAAAGTAAAAACACTTGCACACATGACGTGTTCCAGTGCTGGGATGTCATGCCAGCAGTTGAGATGAATTCATTCATATACAGCAGAATTTTGATGAGGTTTGTTTTTTTTATCAAAGAAATCCACACACAGAGTTGAGCAAAGCTCCTACATTGTTTAAATACTATTTGGCTACATAGATATATCAGCTGGAGTCTTTGATAACATTTTCTTTTCGGTTGGTTGTTCGACGGCCGACAGAGCAGGACCTTTAGTGCCAAGTGATAAAGTATAGTTAAGCTTCGAGTTCCAGGCCAAGGCCTAGCTTATGTCCTCCTTGGTTTAAGCTCTTGCCATCAATAAGACTAGCAAGTGTCAATTTAATACCTACACATGGTAAGAAAAAAAAATAGAACAAGAAATTAAATTGGATTAGACAGGGAGGAAGAAATTGAGGAATGGAAAGAGGAAAGAAGAGAGGGAGAGAAAGTATATAACACATGTAGTCCATGCCTGCCATCCCAAAACCATCATCAGTTACCAAAACAAGAAAATTGAATTTGTATTATATTCATATTCTCCACATTAGGTCAAAAAAATAAAATTGTTGTGTTGCCCTTAAATGGAAAAAATTTAGATCGTCGGTGATTCGGATTTTTTTAAATTTTTTTTTAGTAATACCTGAAATAGGATAGGCCTGAAACACTAGTCCCTGAAGACCCTAGACCGTAGCTCGAGTCGTAGGCATCACAACAGAATGATGGAAAACTTGCCAAAAAAAAATATTCAAAGTATATAATGACGGAATAAATACTAACCAAGTGTATATTGAGAAATTTAACAAAAATAAATCAGTTTAAAGAAAGATTTATTTGGCTTCGAAATGTAAAATAATGTGTATCCGATCCACACGATCACGCATGGGCAGGTTGAGCAAAACCAAAGCGATGGCTAGACCTAAGCCTGTTTTTATTTTTTTTCCAATATACTGTAAGGTAATGAATGGGATTTTTTATTCAAGCAACCACGTACAGTAGTAAAGAATAGGTTAGGCCTAGATCTGGTCATGGCTCGACAGCTCAGCGTGAGGAATCCGATGTTGTGTTCATATATCGTCGTCGCGCTCGGTTCTCAAAATTATGCTTTCTATTTTACCGATTTACGCGTGCATACTGTATATGGACCGGTTTTTATAAAAATACATGTCTGTTTTAGATTTTAAGTTCTAAATGTTAATTTTGGAAGAGGTATTGCTCGAATTTGTACTTGAACAAAATTTAAAAAAAATATTTTTAAAAATGCAGACCCGATTTTTACAAAAATTTCAAGGAGGACAACACAACAATTATTTTTTTTGGTCTTATAAGCTTTAAAATAATTAGGTCATTTACTAAAATTCTCTTTATTGCAAAAAAATGTAATACAGTTTGATGTAATAAAGTATACAAGACTGCCACATTCTTATGCTGATTACTCAACAACATTAACATTTAGCGACAGTAGGCTGTTTATGGAAGGCAAGCCTCATATAGATACAGCAGACAAGATAGTATAGTTTTTAACAGATAAACATGTGATGAAAGAGAAAACAAATACATATTTCAATATGCATTTGTTAGAATTGACTGTGAAAAACGGGACTAAAAACTGTGAATACACATTTACTTGGCTTACCTGGTCTTAGTGTTTGTGTGTATCCAAGACCGATTTGACTTGTATTGCTGACCTTTGCCCTAAATGAGGAATCTGCATCAATTGTGTATTTGCAACCTACAGCAAACCGCGTCACATTGGTGCCAGATGTCCATCCTACGTTGATGGCGCTTTCCAGGTTGTCGGTGACCTTCTGGTAGATAGATCCGCTAAAGTCGCTACCATCATTGCTGGACAGATTAAAAGAGAATGAATTCAGTTCACCTTTGTATAATACGCAGGAGCAATTTCCAAGACTTTTTCTATATGTCAATAACAGGCTGAAGGTATAGACTATACTTACACATTGGTGTGAAGTTGGAAGTCGTTTTTCTTGTAACCCAGAGCAAAGTTGTTGCGTGTCAGTTTTGACTTGGAGGTGTCGAAAGACATCTGGTACCCAGCTAACCAACCTTCATAACTACAAAGAGAAAACATTAAGTGATATTTGAATGTACATAAAGGTAGGAGAATAATCCATAACTTGCAGCATCATTGTGGTGAATTGCGTATGGGCGTGGTCCGTGACTACCTAGCAGCCGCAAGAAGCGCTTCATGGTAGCTACATGTTCACATCATTCCACATTGACAGGGTCTAAAATGAACCATAACATCGGGGTAACTCCCTACTCTTCCAAAAGATGCAATAAGTTCTTTAAAGTGCAATCGAGCCAGATGAATACACTGGCCTTCCATTTTAAGTCCTTATCCGAGAAGACTTGGTTCTACCAACCGAACCATGGGCGAGGAGCGGCACACTTCTGGAACAAGAAAATGAGCATGTGAACCAACTCAAAATCTGGTTAAAAAAAATAAATTGTGATTTGTTCACCTATAAATAAACCACCACTTCTACCTAAAACCATATCATCATCTTTAATCATCCCTGCCGCTATTGCTATGTTCTAAGGATCAGACCTGGGGCTATATCTGATATTTCACAGCAAGCATGAAGAAGTTCTGTTCAGGCACTTCGAGCAAAATAAAAGTACTGACTGAGAATTGACAACTATGCCAGTTTAGATTAGTCAGCAGAGAGTTAGCATGGCAATCCTTAATCTCACTGGTTTGATTCCTACAGTGGCCTATATTTGCTTGTCTACTATTGTGTGTCAAAAATGTTTAACGAAAATCTTCATATTGCAATCATGCTCATTGTGAAAGATAGAGTTTAGAACCCCTACATTATTAAGTGGGGAAAAGAAGGTGTCCCTTGCATAAGGTTAGCCATATTGTTAAAAGATAATATGAAGAGCTTTACCCAAAGACAGCAGCTCCGTAGATGGTGGGTCCAGCAAAGTCGAAGTCAACATCAGCGTTCAAGTTGAAGTAGTCGCGCTTGTAACCGGTTTTTATCATGCCACTCTTTTTACTGAAAGAAATGTTTATGGATAATCAATGAATATTCCTAACATTAATATTAAATTATGTGTAAGTTTTAGGGGTTATTAGAAATAATTATAAAGTTGTTAGTGGTCAATGTGTACAAATTCTAACTAAACTGAACCTTAAAAAAAAAAAAAGAAAAAAAAGAGAACCATCATCCATCCTCCTTCTCCACACGCATAATAATAAAGCCCAGCCCTACACCATACAATCATCCTAAATTCCTACAGACAAAATAACCGATTTTGAATAGTGAGTCAGCTACCTCTTTTATAGATTTGGCACCATTTGTTTGAAACTTTAAAAAAATAGATATTTATAAGAGGACACCCTTTGGAAAGAATCAGTGTTAAGGGTAGCTTCTTAAGGTTCAACACACCTTGAGTCTAGATTTAAGCTGGTGGATAGAGTTCTGTTGAACCTGTATTGAACTTTAAGACGTCCTCTCTTCTTACTACAAAGATGGTACCATTGAAATGGAAAAGTGGGCAACAGGTACTTATTAGTAATTTATTAACAGATTACAAACAAAAATATGAGTTATGTTACTATTAGTAGATCTGACACTACCTAATTTCCTAATAGCATACAGTAGTAGGGCCTAGACAGAACTATATGTGTTTCCCTTAATGTTGTACTTCTGATTCTGTACAGGGTTCATCGCCGTCTTACACACTGAGGCATAACAAATCAGACGGTAACACGGACGAGCAGCCATCAACCGCTCCTGCAGCTAACAAAGCCGGTGAAATCGCTAGTTGACGGTTCTTTTAGACGCGAAAATCGCCTGCACCTAGCTGCTCGAAATTCAAACCGGCCTCGCCTTAAACGCTTCCTAAATTCTTTCTTTCCTTTAAAGAAACGCATTAGAAACCTTCTGTTTCTCAATTTATATGTATTGCAAACATAGCAAGCATTAAAAAACATTTGCAAAGCAGCAGTTTTATGACTTCATCCCTGGCCATATTGGATTAATGAAGTAAACAAAAACTTGCGCCCTCTTTGTTAACAAGCACAAGCGCCACACAGACATCAAAATAATACTCCTTTCCGCGAGAACCCTTTCAGACAGGATACGGTATTATTACCGTATTTTAACTAGCTTTGTGAAAGGGTCTGCGCCGGCAATAACGGCGGCGTGATTAGGGTATTATTGCGGTATTTTCTGTCTGAAAGGGGCTTTAGTAGATCTGACACTACCTAATTTCCTAATAGCATCCAGTAGTAGGGCCTAGACAGAACTATACATGTTTCCCTTAATGTTGTACTTCTGATTCTAGATCGACTGTTATAGCTAATGAAATTTATAGATGATGTCAATGAGGAACAAAGTTTTATGGATTATCAACATAGAGTTCAAGATAAATAATAATATGGCCTATAAAAAATTAGTGCAATAATAGCAGACATAATACTATCTCTGATTTAGTAGGGTCTACTAAAAAAAAAAAAAAAAACATAACCATAACTGAAATACATTAGTGTAGAATAATGGTAAATCTTTTATCTCAAAGCAAACACCAGCAGTGATCCTGTCTATGGATGCCATCAATGACAGCCATATGTCTTCCGGAGAAAACGGCTACTACAAGAGTAACAGTACATAGAAATGATGTGTCTGCTGCACTTGAACCTCTATTCTGATCCTACATAACTAAAGAGAATTCAAAAACACTGACAAGCATACAAGTTTATGAATCAAGATGTTCGCAAGATCCGCAGTCTACACGACGCATAATGATAAACATACCCAGTCTGAGGTGAAAAGGCGGTGTCGAATGTGAGCTTTAGCCCATTAGCGATCTGGTCTTCAATGGTTACTTCTGTCGCTAAGGTGTTATCGGTGTTCCATTTCTCTTTGAATGTTAAACCTGTAACAAGAATCAAATGAATAATATGTAAATGCAGACAGACGGCACTTTAGAGATTCAATATATTTTTAATTTATCTTTATATTTAATTTCACTCTTAGCATGGAAGTGACGTTCCTTCGTAGACTAAAGCCCAGTTTGCATTTACCCTTTTTGATCACACTATCCAAGATCAGGATGACTATAATAATGTACATTTTGAGCAAAAAAAAAAATATATATAAATAAATAAAATTCAGCGAATGACTGCCTGTACAACTTACACTCCCCTTAGTAAAATTACCATACCCATGTGTAAAGTTAATCATTTGGAATTGATTGGAATCTAGCCACCTTAGTATATAAAGTAAATCCACTCCAATCATTTAATGTTTACAGTGAATTTCATCGGGTGGTTATTATTTATTGTCAGCAGGTTAAAACAAAGAAATAATAGCTTATATATCAAGTTTAAACATACCATAATCCTTCCAGGAATATTTTGTTTCTAAGTTTCCATCAATCTTCCCTGTATCATTATTAGATGTACCAGTTACATTGAAGTCCTATCAAGAGAAAAATTGTCTTCCAGTTAAAATCGCAAAATGCACATCTAAAAAAAAAAATAATACAAAAAAAAAAAAAAAAAAAAATGGAACAAAAAGTGTAATGCAAACTAATATTTACTTAAACAGTCTAGTGGTTTGCCTGATTGGGCAATGTAGATACAATTATTGTAAACACTGCACTATCAACATTTGGGCAGTTGAAAATTACAGACAAGGCTACAGGTACCCTGTACATTTTTCCTGAACAAATCATGATCTACTGCTATCGTAATACTGTAACTGCATTACTGTATGCCATATTAAAATCATCTCAGCAGAATTGTTTGCGCATATATTACACTGACAATAGTCAGTACTCCATAGATATCATTAACTAACTACTGTAGGGATAGTATTAATAAGATACTACTGTATATGTACTGTACTTACTACACCACTACTGGTCTTTGTCTTGGCATCAAGCTTGACAACACCAAAGCCTACAAAAAATTGTTAAAAAAATACAATATCGTTACAACATAGGAATGTTTTCTCTATGGTTACGTTTTTGAGATGAAAATTTTTCAATACAAAAAAGAAAAAAACACATGCATTACAGTAAACTCTTTTAAAGATATGGATATAATTACTGCAATTTATGAATTTACTTTACTCACAGTTATTGGTTGAATTATTAATAATGTGCATAATAGTGCACCAGATTTGACCTTATAAATTCCACACATAACTACAAAAATCTCCTACTAACAGACTAAACGTGACACAATTGATAAAAAATAAAATATTAGTCAATGAAAACTAGGGCATTTTTAGTATTAAAATTCAGATCCATTATGCAAATCATGAGATGTACACTACAAAATGAAATATGTAAATTCAATACAGTATTTGAAATTCTATCAATATTTAAGTTTAGATTCTAATTGAAAAATTAAAATTACAAGAAAGAATTTTCCTAAAAACTAATTTTAATATAAATCCTAAACTGTATCATTTGCAGAAAAATGTTACAAACCCTGATAGTAAAAGGTTTTATTATTTTTGATCTGCATAATTAAAATTATTCATACTTTTAATTGAGCCATTACAATTTACTAACATTTTAAAGGTTTTTCTTCATAATGCATGACAATTTGTTGTATTTATTAGGTAAATTTTAGTTTAAATAATAATCATTCCTTTGAATATGGTATTGTATACCATATTTCTGCAGCAATTTAGGTTTCCACAGCAATGTAGAAAATAATGATTCTTCTAGTCAGAATTGTCAGTCATAATGAGAGGTCTGCATACCAGTCACTCCTGTTAGAGCCCTTACAGTACTAGTCAATAGAGTTCTAGTACTTGGTCTACTGGTAAACAAGGTCAGTATTTCATGCCAATAGGATTTCAGTATCCAATAAAAACCACAATGGCTTAGTCACCAAAACTGATGAAAATATTATCAATAGCCAATAAACCAAGTATGCAATACAAGGCTTGGGTTGGGTAGAGTATAGTATAGTACACAAAACTGTTTTATTTTACAGCTTACAGTAAACCTAATATATTGTTCTGTAATAGTATTTTATTCATTTTTGTCTTGTAGGGTTTAAGAAAAACAATTTTTTTTTGTGCTATTAAAGTCCGGCTCGAGGAAAAATTTTTTTTTGATATGTTGTAAAACTGATTTTTCTGAGACAGAAAAAAGTTGTTTGACGAAGAACTGGGGAATGGTGAATGAGATACAGCTTTTTTAATATTTAAATAAAAACTGGGGGGGGGGGGGAAGGGGCGTAACCGCCCAATTTCACACCTTTTCCCCCCAGTTTTTAAATATTCAAAAATCTGTGTCTCATTCACCGTTGCTCAGTTTTTGATCAAAATGCTTTTTTCTGTCTTAGAAAAATCAGTTCTACAACATATCAAAAAAAATGTTTTCCTCCGGAGCCTGACTTTAAATGTGATATGCCCATATTTGGGTGTATTATGACATCATCATGCCTATATATAGGCGCGTCACATCAAATTTGATAGTCATCACAAAGCATTATTGACCTCATTTTGTCTCCATAGAGTGATCCTGAGTTTGTGCAATGGATCAAAGAAATCCGTGAGGCATTTGAAGGAGCCCAGCGAATGCTTCGGAAGGGTCCAAAGATGTTTGCTGCCCAAGGTTCGTCCTCGGACATGTTAAAGCATGCCACTCTTGGCCGAAGCAACAGCAACGGTCACTAACTACGCCCTCACCTAAAACAGTGCTAATGCATATCCATTAATGCTTTGAATGCATAATTAACCTGCAAACTAATCCAGCCATTCATCCGATGGTTGCGAAATGTTTATTCATAACAATTTATGAATATTCAAAATTTTTTTTTTTTTTATGCATCTAGTTAGCATTCACCTTAATCGCCTTCTAACTGCTTAACTAAATTGAAAGCGAAGGGGCGTAACCGCCCAATTTCACACCTTTTCCCCCCAGTTTTTATATATTCAAAAATCTGTATCTCATTCATCGTTCCCCAGTTCTTCGTCAAACAACTTTTTCTGTCTTAGAAAAATCAGATCTACAACATACCAAACATTTTTTTTCCTCCGGAGTCTGACTTTAAATTAAACAATTATAAGATTATCTAACATGAGCCTTTGAAATTTTTCATGTTCATGGAAAGCATGCAATAATTGATAGGATATGGATAACTTATTACTAACGAAGTACAGTTAACATTCCTATTACCAATGATTTTGATACACAGGGAACATAATGCTAAGAATCAATAACGTGCATAGTTGAATTTTGATCAGACTAAAGGTCAGTTAACTGGAAGATTAATATCCTACCTGAATAAACAGCCAACGTACAGTATTGATTTTAACAAAAATTTCAAACATAAAATATTAAGTTAAAATGAATAATTATTAAAAGTAACACAAATAAAGAGAAATGAATCACTTTCAAAATATCATTGTGTTGTACAAAAAAATCTGAAAAAATATAATTAATTTTTAATATTTAATATTAATAATTGCTTTGTCAAGTTTTTAGCTTTTCTATAACTTGACAAAGACAATATAAGGAGAAAGCCTGCAAGTCAGTGAAAACTGGATATTATCAATCTGTGACTCAATGGAATTCAACTTATTATATTATCCTTCTAAATAAACAATTCATTGTTTTAATTTACTGTAATTCTTGAAGTTTTATTTTACCAGAGACAGTATAAAAAAATATATATATACCTGTATATATATATATATATATATATATTGCTTTATAAAAGAGGCTTTAAATAATTGAACTAAGGCCATCAATAATTGATCCTAACAACACTGCAACAAAGAACACCTAAGGCCGGGAAAAAGGATGTTAAGTTGAAAGTCACTTCCCCTCGTCTAATATGGAATAAGGGTGCGAATTAAAAGTAGGTCAAACAATTTTTTGAACAATGAATTGGATTAGATTTGATGTATTTCTATTTTAAAATGATTTGTTGTGTGACACTTCTACCACCACCTCAATTATTCACCAAGCATTGCAATCCTTGTAGTCACTGTAAGCATACTAATAATGATGGCAATTTTCATATTCCTAGGCTTTATTGGCTTGTGTTGATCAGATTTGGTAGTACCAGCATATTGACTTGAATATAAAATTGCTGATGGCCAAAAAAAGGGGCCACCTCTTCCCTTTGCAGACTTTTGGACAAAAAGGCATGCATGGAGGTCTGGATTCAAGTGATTTTCTAGGCAGGTAAAATGTGTATACTATACATCTGTCATAATCATATCCTCCTCCTTTTTCCCCCCCTACCACCACCATCATTTTATTTTTTTTAAATTTCCGCCTGCAGTATAATATTTCTTAGTCATTAGAATACCATAATATTAATTTTATTTTACTATCAAATTCCGCTACACATAGTAGCTAGCTTTAATATCAGCATTATAAGAAGAGATCTGAAAAAGGTCTCCATTTATTTTTCTTACTAAATATCTTTTGTCCTAAAAACATTTTTAATTTTTTTTTTTTTTAAAGACAAATTAGAAAATGAGGACACTAAAGAAATCAACCTCTTTTCAAGTCATAGATAATGATGCAATATTACACAATACATGCTCAAATCTGGAGTGGCATAGACTTTGGAAAATGAACAATAACTAATTAGCAAGGTAAGAAAAACAAAAGCCTGATTAGTAAGCAATCAAACAGTAATTAAAATAACTTCAAATGGATTATGGAACAGAAATGTCAAGTAGTGCAATATACAGATAATGTAAATTATAGTTAGGTACCTAAGGGTTAAAAAAGAAAAAAAATTCAAACTGGAGAGAAAGTACATCATCCCTGGCCCTAGAAACTAGACCTAAAAAATGAATTTTGTGGAAGTCTAGTAAAGTAGCAGCACTAGGCCGAGGGCCTACAGTATTTTTAATGAATAATGTAACTTACCTTGAATTAAATTCATCTGGATCCAAATCAATATTTATAGTATATTTTGTTTTCGTTAAATAGTGCATTCACGAAAAGTAGTATGTGAGTAATAATTACGACTAAATTTATTGTGATCAACGAAAACAAAATATATAATAAATATAACTTAAGTTCTTTACTAGGCCATAGCCAAGGCCTAAATAGCAAACATATTCATCATCAGTCATTTCTGCTGATGCAATCCATTCATGCACAAGCTGGAGTAAAATCGTTAATTTGGTTGTTCCAAATGGCCTAGCCTAGGCTAAGCCCTAATAAAACTAATTTTTCTTACCAAATCCTTTTCCGAATATATCCCTGGAAGTCTTGCCCAGGTCTGCATAAACTGGTGGTACATTTGCCATTTTGTATTTTATTTCAGTCTTTCGTTCTGAAAATAAAATTCATTTTCAATCAATTCAATTTCCAGTTTTTGCATTCTAAAAATTCTACCAACCAGTAACCATTCATTGCCTTTCTTTGCCATTTGGATTTCTATTTAGGGCCAAGGCTTATCACATTCTAAAATAGAAAATTGCAGATAATAAACTGAGCTACAACCATAATCCATGCATCCTCGTACAATCTAAGCTTAGCTAGGCCTAACTGGTAACAGTTACGTTAATCTGGTGCTGATCTGCCCATCCCCTCTCCACGCTGGGTCTCCATCGAAGTTCGTCCTGTGTGCACACTTGATTTTTAAAAATCAAGACACAAGAAACTGAGTAAGATGTATCAGATCAACTGTTTTGCATTCAGTTTAGAACAACAGATAGCAAATGCAATGTAACATCTTAGCTAAAATAATACTAATAAAAGTAGTTTTTGCTTACACTTAAAAAAATGCGAAAATCACCGGTAGGTGCCTAGCCTGGCTAACGCTGAAACCGTACAACAACGAGGGTTATGGGAAAGATGGTGTACGTGAATGGCGGATTTAGACGGGTTTCTGATACTGTGTGGCAGTAGATAATTTGTAGACCGCCCTCTAATCATAAATCAAAAGTGAACATTAGCGACATCAGGATTATTTACCTTAAGTAAAGATCTTATTTTCGGATTCCTCAGCTAATGTCAAAGATATTAAGATTTTTTATATTAGCTAGATAAATCCGAAATCATACTTTTCTTGTTCTTTAGATTACGTCCTCAAATTCGGGACCACTTTGGGAAGTGCAACCTCTAGAATCGATCTCCAATAATAATAATTAAAAAAAAACCGTATTGCTCGTCATAGAAAAACCTTACTGACTCTGAAAGCATGATCATCAGCTCTTTAATTTAGTTGCCTCCAGATGTATAAAAATCTCTACTCCGCCGACGTGCTATCGTTTTTTACTTTTCATTAATTGTCACCAAGCTTTTATTCTACAAGATCCAATTAAGTGGTTTTACATTTTACTCAGCATATCACTTACACGGTGTAGAGTAGAATGACCCCTCAAGATGTTAAAAACAAATAGACATCATCAGAGCAAATGCCAATTGATAAAATGCAGTAACTAACCTAGGCCTAAAAAGAGGAATAATGAGGTCGATGGTTGCATTAGTGATAATTACTTATTATTGTAACATTACACGGAAGTGACGTTCTATCATCATCATCAGCGATCACCATAATCATCTGGTGTGTCATCCATGGGGCAAACCTCATTGAAGAAACTAACTATAAATATCATATCATATCATTTATTTCGTCAATAAACAATAGCATACAAAGACAAACAACATTACAAGACAGAAATACTGTACAAGCACTTAAAAAAATGTTTAAAAAGTCATTTAAAACCCGGCAGGACATCTCTATTAATTGTGGAATTGTACCGTACCTGTTTTCTATCGACTACGGCGGCCGAGGCATTCATAAACTCTACAAAACGCATCTGTCCATTTTAGCACACTTGTATTGGAGGTACTATTTGTCACATAATCAAATTAGAAGAGTCTCAAAACTACTGCATAGAGATCGAACTCTGGGCATCTAGTTAATATTGTTTGCATGCCTGCATGGCGAAATAACAATAAACTTAGTGCTTGCTACCAGAAGTATGCAGTTAGTTGGTACTTTAATTTAAGAATTAACTATAATAAAACAGGGTAAAACACCTTTTGAATTTCTTTTAGAAGTTTAGACTCAACCAATCACAATGTAGAACACGAACGCCACAAATAAATACAACTTACACACAAGAAGAATTACTTAACGCAGTTGAACAATATATACATTTATTTCAGGTAAAAACTACAATATAGAAATAAAACTTTTATCATTAAAAATATAGTTTCTATATAAATATCTCGTATGGTTAGTAAGCGATGCATTCATTCAAATTTAGTGATATTAATAAATATTCAAAATAATCGGAATGTAAAATTTTTTAGGCTTACAATATTCAACAAGTGTTAACAATATAAAATGTGTACGCAGTGCCTAAGCTCGACCAACGGTCGACCGACACAACGGTGGATTGGTGCACAGTGATCAATAATTATATAATCTGATCTGACAGATATGGTCCAGAATTAAACAGTGGATAGGATTTTGTCACAGAATTACAGGAAATAGTTCAACCAGTAAGGTCTACTTACTAAGTTAAAATGTTTATTTACATGTATTGTGCTAAAATTATCATAGACGTGCCAAAATTAAATACCGAACTAGAAAAAGAAGTCTTGGCAGTTCTATGGAATTAATAGTTAACCATATGACATTCGTTCTGCTCCTACTTTACGTTCCTTCAAGAGTAAATTATAGTTGATCACGACCTTTTGAAAAATAACTGTTTATATTTAAACATTTGAAAAGTTATTCTTGAATAAATATTGGATTGATTGATTGATTGAATTACAAGAGAGGGGTCATCATCTTTTTCATCATATTCATGATACAATTTAAAACAATGCAGTGTATGTAAAACAGTGTATGTACAAAAATTATAAATACATCAATTATTTAATCTTAACCTTTACAGGGATGTGGGGTCACAATGAAAGACTTCTCTATGTTTTGTAAGCTCTTGAATATGAAGAAAAAAATGAAAGACCCCCCCCCCCCTTAGGCTACTAAAATTCTTAAAAAAAAAAAAAAAAACGTAAACGAGGGTCCTCATGTGTTACCAACGGGCCTTTATCCATTTTATGTCACCAATAAGACTGACAGACAGCTGAAGTGCCACTATTTCCAGTAAAACCATCGAGCCAACCACAATCGATATGAATATAAGGTTAGACGTTAACCACGTGATGACGGCCTCTTTGCAGCCTTTTGTATTAATGATTTGGCTTTGTTCAGCGGTACTAAGAGAAAGAGCTCCATTGCCACACTGGTAGTTTACGACCCCCTCTTCTTCGTCGTGGCAACAGGAAAATGGCACTCCACACTTCGTTACAATAGCAATTCCATTACAATCGTAATATCTTGTAAACGTAAGAAAAGAAAAATCAGTTTTGTAAATTGTTTTTGCTGTCAAAGTTTTATGTAATTATTATCGTCATCATTTTTATCATCATCATCATTCGTATTGTCATCATCCTCATCATCAACAACTTCCTCATAAATATCATTTATCATGTATTATCATCTTCATCCTCATCATCACCCGCGTCATCATTATCCTCATCATCACCATTACTTTATCTGCATTCATTTTTCATCATCATCATCATTATCATCATCATCATCATCATCATCATCATTTTCATCATCATTTTCTTCATCACGGTGCTTATCAATATAATTATCACATTTCCATCCATACCATCACATTTACTGTACAATCATTGTCATCATTGTCACTATATCATCATAATCCTCACATCATTACACTAGGATTATCCTTATTACCCTCATCATCATTCTTAATTAACGGCCTCATAATCATCGTCTTCCTTTTGATAATCTTCATAAACATCCACATAAATCCTCATAATCACCATAATTAACATCAACAGCATCATCATTATCCTTATAATCATACTATTACAAAATGAAGAATAAAATAGATAGTTGCAGTAGCGTATCTGGGAGGGGGACCTCCAAAAATTACTCGCCCCCCCCCCAAAAAAAAATCACGGTCAAGTAATTAAAAGTCACCTAAAAATCACCTAATTTTGCACATTAGCGCCCTCAACTGATCATCGACCCCCCTCATCAGCACCCCCATTTCAAGACTTTTAGATACGCCACTGGATAGTTCCTGAACATTTAAAAACTTAGGCCTACTTGTTGACTTCCCAATCCTTAGGTTCGTTTATGCCACAGCACTGTAAATAATCCTGTATTGTATCTATAATGAACTGTGTGTCGGGATCGTCTACAATAAACACATTTGATTATTTTCAGCAACGATATTTTTAAAATGTATTCTTGCGTATTCTTTGAAAATATCATAGTTTATTCCTTATTTAATAACATTTTACGATCCATAATAGGCTCCCCAAATTCAAAATAAACACGAATGCAAATTAATAAATGTAAATGGGCCGGCATGCTTAAACACACATGTGAAAATGTGTTAAATCAAAGTTATCACTGAAGATTGTAGATAAAAATTACTATAAAATAAAGCGTGCCTTACTTAAAGTGTTTAAATACGCCAATTTATTTAACATTCGACAGTAGAAAGGAATTGTTTTGTTGTTATGTGTATTTATATATTTAAATTCGACGAATTAGAATAGCTACTTTTAAATCATCAAATTGAATACAGAACCACTTATATTAAGCGCCTATTAGCCTTTATTTGCAAGGAAAAACATGTTTCCAATTAAAAATATAACTTGCTTAAATATTTTCTGCAGGCCATAACTGAAATGTAGTCAGTTGTTCAAATGTATTAGCTCAACATAGTGACTATGTCACATCAATCATTTTGTATATATTCAATCAGAAATAGAAATTCGTTAAGATCAAAGTAACTTACCTTGATAATCAATCATACTTCTGTTGACAAAATTTTCAATTGAACCGATTACCTCTTCCTGATAAAAATACCCCAGCACCCCGGCTGCAACTTCCAACAGCAGGATGAGTATCATAGAATATCTGAAAACATTCAACAGTGTTGTATTTTCCCGTAGGGCACCGATACAACCAACTGACGACAACACAACGACGATACAACCAATCGTGATGAACACCCACAGCGGGTCTACGCTAATACTACCACTCTCAATGACACTGGTTATGGCGCTAATGTCCTTTGAGTATACGCCCCAGATGCCGAACCCAAGAATGGCACCACCAAGAAAGAAAAATACGATGTTCATGAATACCATTGTGTATTTGACACACATGCTTACTTTAGCCGTGTTTCTGTTCCTTTGTTGATTCGCCATCTTTGCTCCTCCTCAGCTGAAGATTAATAATAAATAGTTACGTTATAATATAATATTAATGAGCAGTAGGCATATGTATCGAGGATGCTGCTGAAGCCAATGCCTGATTTCAACATCCGGGAATTGACTAGTGTTTTGTACATTACACTACCATTCACTAGATGGGTCAAGCTCGCTAGCCATAAGGTTTGCTAGCACTGTTGATAGTGAAGAAAAGGGTTCGCTATTTATTAAATAATAATAATAAGGACCGCTTTTTCATAAGGTTCGCAGTCATAATTTAAAAAAAAAGGGGGGGGGGGGGTTCGCTAATCATAATTTAAAGAGATGTTTGCTAGTAAATGATGTAAAATAAAAGTATACACAAATAAACGTCATTTCATTTCGCGTGATATGAAAGCAACACTTGTCAAGAAGTAAAAAATATACCGTATATTATGATAAAATACCGTTAACTTCTTTAACTTATTAAACACTCTAACACAATTCTTTAAACTGCTTTAACATCAGTAAACGATATAGAATAGGCCTATCATTTATTTATAAATCATCAATATAGGCCTATATAATTTTAATGATATGTGACATAAAACAGGAGAATGTATACCAGGTAGCATCTATAGAGTAACAAAATATATCACATAGGCTAATCATCTAATCATATAGGCCAACTAATAGCAAACAACAAACCCCCAAAGCAGTGCCTAATAACACGCTAATACAACGGAGGAAAAAAATTTACTAAGGCAACCATCTAACAGATGGTGAAGCAGTGTCGTAACGCCCGTGAGTTATCGGGGCACGCAGCCCCGGGCCCCCAATCCAAAAGGCCCACGGAGAGAGGCCCCGGGGCTACTGGTACATACATAGAACTTTGACCAATGGTACCTAAGAGAGGCCACAGGGGCTCCCTCTTCGATCTAGCACTACATTTCTTATTTTGGAAAGCTTCAAAGGAAAAACAACTGTTTGGGGCCAAAAGATCTCATACAGTTTACAGACGAGGACCTCAAATCTTTTTGGAAAATGTACCCTTATTTTCTCTCTCTTTTTTTTTACATTTATTGTACATATGTAGGTTCTTGTTCTAAAGTGGCCAGTAAAAATTCAATTTGGTTTTTTCTTCATTCAAAATCAAAAATGTGTTTTCTGTCAAAGATCCGATCCCTGTTGGTCTCCACTCGCGAATTGTTTACAAATTTGTTTGTGCAGGCTTGGTATATCGGCGAAAGAAGCCATCACTATTAAACTCACGTGCGGGAGCACTAACAGTGGATGGGGACTCCCATATTTTAAAACACCTGAACGCCTTCAATCACTGCAAACAACTAGCCAATGAAAATTGTTTTACCATAGTAGACGTTTCAATCCCTTCAATTGCTGCCCAACTATGGAATGGTCTGCCAAATTCTCTCAGATCTTGTGATTCCCTTAGGCAGTTCAAAGCCCATCTAAAAACACACATTTTTTCAATAGTTCCTCTCAACTTGATCATATTTATTGTTTTTTATTTTTTGTTTTCTTATTTTTCTACTGCTTTATTGCATTAGTTATTAGTTATACAACTAGACTCTGCCCGCACAACGCAGATTTTGAAAGTCAAGGAAACGCTGTGGGAACAACCTTCACTTAACAAACAACTACAGTATATCATGTAAATGTAACATTGTCTTTTTCAATCGGTTTCATTCCTTATTATTCATTTGCTATTTTGCCAATTTGTATTCATGAATGTTTTAATTGTGATTACGGTTGAACTCTTGTCATGGATATACATTGCAGATGTGAATGATTTTTTACTGATGATGGTAGTAGACCGACCGAAACATGTCTGGTTTGGGGCCATGAAGACCAATGCATTGATATGGCACTAGCCTATAATAAAGGTTATATGAAGGATTTTTTTATTATGACTGGCGAACCTCATTTTTATTATGATTAGCGAACCTCTTTTTTTTTTTTATTATTATGACTAGCGTAACTAATTAGTTAGCTAGGGAAGCAGTGCTCTCTGTGCTAAAACACTACTAAACATAGGCATATCCTATCAGTCAGTGACGTGAATACCCTACCTGATTCAACAGTAGGGCCTAAGCTGTAAGACGTGCCACGGAGGTATCGTAATACCTTACAGTACTGTACGGTATTTAACCATCCTATGTACAAACGGTATTACGATACCTCAGTGGTTACATCATTCAAAAAGAGGGTTCCATCAATCGATAAGACACGTATAGTCCAGTGTCAACCGATTCCGATATCTGGATCTGGAACCATCTTGTGTTACCGCCGGTAACCGCGCGACGTATGCGTCTAGAAGGCTACTACTACAACTGGTTACAATTGAATCCTCAATGCCTATTGCCTTCATTATTGTGTCAACAAGGCCTACGCTGGTACATTTATAAAAAAAAAATAACATAAGCATTTCGGGATTCGACATTATATTAGTTAGTCGACTCAGATGCAGTGACCTGAAAGTCCTTGTTGCAATACTAGTATCATACCTTTCATTCGCTTACCTTATTATATACAGTATAGTTAAACGGGAAACGGAGGCCCGTGGAAACTCTTCTATTATATCTACTAAATACGATTTGTTAGTAGATTCTCACTACTGTAATTATGTTCCTGCATTCGAAACCGATCTCAGCGATTCACTTCAATACCGGAAGTGAATAAGAATGACGACGTCGTATTGTTAAGCCAGGTAAAACGTCAACAAAGATCGGATTTCTTACAATAGGGCTCTCTCCCGCATCGCCATTAGTAAACTGGGCGGTATACTGGTAGACAATAACAAGTAGTATGTGTAATAGCATGACTAGTGTGTTCCGGGTTCATTCGAATCAACATTTATATACGATTGTTGAACCACAACGAATCCTAATATTATAGTATGATATAATAACGTTGTTTGATGTATTGGACTCACTTCTACCTATCACGTCCCGTATCACATACAATACCAATAAACATTAGTTCTGGGCATTATGCATGGGCCTAGGCCTGTGTATGTTCTCTAGTTCATATAAACTAAGGCATGATACACACACACACGGTTGAGCTTATACATGCATGCGACGTGCAGATAGAAATCATACAGCCTGTTCCTGTGTAGCTCTTTATTCCGCCTATTATTATATAAAAAAAAAATTAACATCATTATATTCTTAAGTAGGCCTATATAGTAAACATACAATAAATAACATATTATGAGCACGTTTCATTTTGAATCATCTATCATTAATACTATCACTGCCGTGTTTTACTAAATATCATATATATATACATATATATATATATATACATATATATATATATATATATATATATATATATAGTCATATTAGTCCAGACTTTTAGAGCACAATTTTATTTCAACTTGAATATTTACTTGTACTCAGGTCCTCAGCATGTCTGATTTACAAACACTATGTACAAGTTAGTGATTGGTTAAAACTAATCACTAATAGATATGCCAACTTGTACATAGTGTTTATAAATCAGTAATGCTGAGGAGGGGAGGTCGAAATAGCATTTGCAGTACCCGCTGCTACTTGCCGGGGATCGAATTCAATGCTAGTCACTAAGCGCAAGCTCGGTGGTCTAGTGGTTATGACACTAGGTTAGTTATCTGGAGGTCCGATGGGTTCGATACCCACCCGACTCCTACTGAGTTATTCGGTATGATAATATGTTAAGTAGGGCAAAAAAAAAACCCCTCGTATATTACTGTATAATACTGTAGTTTGACAACGGAGTGATCCGACTGTATTCACAGTTATACAATTATCCTATATAAATATATATTACATTGTGAACAGATATCTAGTATATTGAAATGTATAAATCTTACAAAAAATAGAATTAAAAAAGAAAATATATCAACATACGAAATAATAATTTATATTGGAAATTGAATTGTGTGTGGATAGGCATACACATTAACGGTGTAAGACCTAATATACACATTCTGAAATACTTTAAATTTAAATCTACAAGACTCTGTTTATGACGAAAATATACAAAATGTTAATTACGTAAATACTGTTCAATTTGAAAGTGATTAAAAAGCAGTTTGTCAGTACAATTTTATAATTCTTATAAATATAGGATTGAACGATTTACGGTACGTTATAATTATATACATTGATATTATTCTCCATTATGTTTCTGTCCGAACATTTCCTATGCACATTTTTTATATTCGAAGCTTTAAAAGCAGACTGCGACTTTCAGTGAATGTCACGTTAGATACATTACGGTACAATTGCAAAAAGTTGATTCTGCTAATGCCATTTATAAAGAAAGGTTACGTAAACGATCATTCGGAACTAAAAATAATCATAATGGCTATCTCTATAGCTTTAGTGTTGATCTGCTATCCAAATTTATCTTATTTTTATCCTCCAATTTGTGTTTGTCATAACCATCTGACGAAACTCAACACTGCATGCAAGCAAGTGTTATTTGTGTTTGTAGATGTGTATGGTTTTTGCCGAGTAATAAAATTGTATGGTGTAGAGAGGAGGGTACTCCCGGGCTCCTGGATCCTCCGCGATGCGATCAGTGCTACCACTACCAATACGATTTCACTGCTTCAATATCGTTGATCATCCCCTTCGCCAGACAAATAAAAATACACTGCAAAATCATCAGCAACCCTCCTGCTATACTGATGAAAATAATGTTAGTTTGGAACCAATCTTTTAACTCGTCGGCACATCCGTTGGTATATATAATATCTTCCTGTTCGCCTGGTGTTAGTTCCAACACACCGTAACCACACTGGTAGTTAACTACACCGTCTACAGGCTTGCAGCAAGAATACGGCACGCTACACTCTGTCGCTGCGGGTCCATCACAAGTAAAATACCTGTTATGGTGATGAGATATATGTCATTGAATACTTGGCAGTCAAAAAATATAACGAATATTTTTTTTGCTATTAATCCATGTATTATTCTTAAAAAAAAATACGTTTAATGATGATGATGATATGACAATCATATCAAAATCAACAATAATAATTTATTTATTAATTTAGATATGGTGATATAATATGATCCATGGTTTGTTTACGCTGCGCTATCTAGTTAGTAGGCCTATATATTAAACGTTACCAAAAAAGAATTTTCTTTTTATCACCAAGCATAACATCAGAAAATCATTTAAACTAATCTCATATTAATAGTACAAGGAAAATTGTGGAAAAAGAACAGGGGGTCAATCTCATACAATAAAATGAAACGAGAAAACGAAAAGCAGTAATTTTTTTTTTATCACATGGGACAACATGGATTAAAACGACGCTGGCAGTGAGTGGGAATGTTTCTCTTCACAAATTAATGCTTAACGGCACTACACACGGTTCAAAACTTACATATTGGCCTCCCAATCGCTAGGCTCGTGTATTCCACAGCACTTTAGTCCCTGGTGCATTTCGTCTGCTAAATATTGGGTGTCAGCATCGTCTAAATTGTTCCAAGAAAAAAAAGAAACCCAAAAAACACACAATCAAGTTTAGTTGAGCATAACGGTAACTTAGTCAATAGAGACGGCTACCAACACAGGTAACATGGAAGCACCGAATACAATAATTTATAATGCTGTAGCTTTAATCTATCCATTTTGGGCAGCCTAAACGGTTTAAAGTTATCGAAGCTGATAAAAAGCAATCTCCAGACTATCACATTGTAATTGACAGCAAACTGTTTGGATGCCCATATACAGTCATGATGTGCCTGATAGGGAGCTTTCCATTTGTGCGACGCCGACGCGACGCTAGAACGGAATCACACCCACGCGTGACCGTCCTACCTGGCGTCCTACGACGTTCTCTGCTGGCCAAATTGCGTTCCAGAATCTACTCGATGAGGTGACCTTAACGCTCTCGCATGCGCAGATGGCTTTTAGTGACGTCATTACGTTCTACGTCCTACAGTCGTCGTGCAATCGAAAGCTCCCTATTACATAGTCATGATATGATGTCATTATGACCATATTTAGGCATCCATGTCATATTTTTTATGTGAAATAAAATGTGATCTGGACAGGGCTTAACATAAGGCAATGGACATTTCCGCTATGCCCCGCCCCTTGGATATTGTTGCTAAGGTCCCACATAATCACATTTGTTAAAACATACGCAAACACGTGCGTTTTGTGACACAACACGTCATTTTTCTAAGGGGAGGGATTAAGATGGCGTTTATTTGCCTATGGTATTCTTCCGTCTCCGTATTCATCATTTTTATAACAAAAGGAATGAATAGGCCTACACATCAAAATGAAATATCATTTGTAGTTTTAATTACGTGTAGCCAAGAATATTATGCACGCGTGGGAATAGTCCAATCTGTACACAGAGATGCGCGCGATTTGTATTTTTGTAATATGTAATTCACTCTGAGATCAAAGAAGAGAATTGGTGCTACAACATGTAGTGTTTTTAGTAGAAAACATTATGATTATAGGATGGGACAAAGACATAGTCGATTAGGCCCAATGCCATAGCCAGCAATTCAATTTCAATTTATTGTCATTTGTAATTGGGACAGTCCCACACCATTTTCTAATGGGTCCACAAAGAATGGGTCCACATTTTAAAAATAGGTCCAGATTTCTCATATTTTGCGTAAAATGAGTAAAACTATTAAGAAAATGGGTCCAGATTTCTAACATTTTGCGTAAAACGGGTCAATTTTTAAGAAAATGGGTCCAGATTATTCATATTTTTGCATAAAATGGAACAACTTTTATTATAAGCCATGCGCACTTAAATTAACAAGACGGCTTTTGGTGTACCTATCTGGAATTTCACTCAAACAACTGACCAATCAGAACAGGGATAGGAATAGGCACGTGTCTTACACGTGGTACGTATGGTTCTACCTTCTTGTTTTGTGTGGAACCTTGGCAACATTACAAAAGGGGCGGGGCCGTCTTAGTGGAATGGTCAATTTGTTTAGGCCCAACTTTATCATTTCAAAAACACACTAAGGCCTACGTGAGGAAGTTGATAACAAAAACGTGTCTTACCATAGTATGCTAAAATAGTTTTGTTTACGTAGGTTTCCAGAATATTCACTAATCTATCCTGATAAATGTAACCAAGCACCCCTGCAGTAATTTCCAACAGAAATATTAAGATGACGGAGTACGCAAAGAATTTCAGCATACACGTGTTCTCTCGCAAGGCACCGATGCACCCAAAGAAAGCGAGCGTGAATATCAATCCGCCGACAAACACAAACATCCACATCGGGTCCAATTTCACCTGTTGGTCTTCAGCAATGGCATCCACTATGCCACCATTCTTCGCAATTAAGCCCCAGATCCCGAAGCCCAAAATGGCAGCACCCAGGACCCAAAACAGAACGTTCATGAAAAACATACAGTACTTGGTACATAAGCTGACCTCGACGCCAGGAGGAGCCCCTGTCCGTTGACGTCGGCGCTGGGGAGTATGTTTCCCACTATTAGGGTGAACTGGTTTTTCGCCCATACCGGTAGTTTTCTATATCACCTTTAATGAAAATACACAAAAACGTACGGTAATTGTTAATAATGGCTTCAAAACAATTGTTTCCATAAATCATCTATTTAGCGAATATTAATATTAGTTGCGATGGCGCCTGGATTTGCCCAGCCGGGAAGGTGAAGCGATGAGCGGCAATGTCCCCGACGGGACCGATGTTCCGGGCAACGCGTGCCGCGAGACAGCAAAAGTGGGCGGGGCCGGGGAGGGCAGCTGGGCCATCCAGAGACTTTCAGGATCCAGAGGGTTTCAGGAACAAATCCCCCAGAGCATCCGATCATTTAGGGCACCGTTCCGCAACCTAGGGGTCGCGACCCAATTTTTGGGTCGCGGAAACATTTAGATGGGTCGCATAATCTCCTCAGATCGTGAAAACTACTTAATACGGACAAGGACAAACGAAATCAAATTACAGTAAACGAAAGTGCAGTTTACTTTTGTAATGCATTTGTTATCATAGCTTCATTTGTTACTTTGTTATTTTAGTATTTATATATAGCGCCTATTTTATTAGGTTACAGAGCGCTTTATATTATGTTAAATAATATAAGCCTCTATCAAAACATTTGTACTTCAGGTAGGTCTATGACAACTTTTGTTCCTTTCGATGTGTTTGGCTTTCAGCTGAAAATTATTTAAGGATTTAATTATTAAAGGACAAAACATTCTCTTCAATTTAATGTGTCTATGTCTTCGCATAGGCCTAACCCATATTTCTGGCAGCAAATCTATGAATTTGTGTAGGCTTATAGTAAAATGGAGTCTGTAAATAATTCATTTTAAAAAATCTTATTGGAACATTTGATAACTTACGTGTTTTGTTAAATGAGTAATTCAAAGTTATAATTTCACTTTTATGGGTTTTAAATTGATTGTATGGGTGATCTTTGGAGTAGGCCTATCTTTTAATCGATTGCTAAACAAAATCAAGTGAGTTCTTCTGATACCCCTTGCACGTATAAAACGACATTTATTGACTTAATTCACTCAAACTGAAAAAATAATAATACCGTATTCAATCATTTCCCTATGAAATTGAGATGAGAAATTTGGCTTCCGGTTTGATGGGTCGCGTATGAGTGCTTGACATATAATTTGGGGCGTGGGCTAAAAAAAGGTTGCGGAATGGGGATTTGGGGAATTAAAAATATGTTAAATGATTAATCTGCCTGCAATATGTACAAATTCAATTGTGTTTTTATCCCCGATAGGAGTTACCACTGCACGACGCCACCCCTAGTTGATAGACGATTTATTGGTAGGCCTACATATATAGTGATACAGTTATTCCTCTATTGTATCAGCAATATTGGATGAAAATCCTATTACAGTTGGCAGTACAGTATGTCCGTCGTATTAATCTTTGTTTGTGTGTGTATACTGCGATACGTCTCAAAAGTAAACACATAGTATCCGCTTCAGTTTTAATTACCCTGTTAGACCTAACTCTTTCATGAGCAATTGAATCGTATCAGTGTGACCTGACCTCACCACCAATTTTTCCGTATACCATAAATTTATTGACCAATTATGACATGTTTTTATTAATTATTGCGCGAAAATAACTGTAGACGCATGCCCCACACTGGGCAGCTCATACTACACCCGTCTGAGACTTCCTCAGGTAATACAGACTTAACTTAAATTATCTATATCATTCGGAACAATTTTCATTGGCAATTTTATTTATAATGTTGAAGACAGTTATAATATATACGGTAGCAGCAGCAGATGCCTCACTCATTGAGATGTACTCAATCTTTACAGCATTATTTTACCGTATATTATTAGAGTTAGTTTTATGCGATCAGTGGCGTATCTAGAAGTCTTGAAGTGGTGGTGCTGATGGGGGTGGGGGAGGGGCGAAGGTGAAGATGGGGTCGCGTTCCCTAGATACGCCACTGTATGCGATTACCCTCCTTGTGCGTTCCTAAGAAAGAGATTAAAGCTCCACGAGTAGGAAGTAAATGCTAAATGACTACCGGGTACTTGAACACATCTACGAAGAGGCTACAAACAGAGAAGAAACGTAATCTAATACGCCGCTTGCTATCGTATACTGCCAGCACTGTAATTATTATTAGCAAATAGCAACGCTGGAAACACTGAAACATTTTGACAGCAATTCTAAATCTATAGTATCCACGTTTAAAGGCATATTTTAAGCTCAGCAGATAAGCTACGGCAAATGATAAACTTACCATACACAACTAAATGTTAAAACAGATTATATCGATCGTCGGAGGGAGTACAGAAGAAAATCAATAGCGAAAATTCCAATTTCTTAGATGGATAATTGAGGTGAAGTCGCTCGTTTCTATGAATAACCTTCGAGAAACAGGCTAGGCGTATACAACGATGTGACTTTGTATAGTAGATACTACATCTCTATGTTGTTTGTCGATGGCGTTGTTTTGTAGAGGAGTTGGTCTGCTTTGACACGGGTCCGAAGTCCATTATAAAATATGTTTCATCACCCGCACGAAACCATCAACACACAGCATATATTACAGTGAAATGATAACACATTTTGACACACTCATCGATACCTGTTTCGATTTCCAATGTGAATATTCAATTCATGTTGAAGCACCCCCTCTACTATCCGATAATTTGCAGATGACTCATTTCACATTCTAATTTTATGCTCTTGTGTTGACCGTGGAATAAACAGAAAAACAGCAGTTTACTCAGATAACATCATATCTATTTCAGGCGCGTCGGAAGCAATTATTATATGGCCGGCCAGATGCGACGATCCCCATCCCTCCACCTCACCTCACCTCACATTGGCCCTCGATGGAGGGGGTCCGGATGGAAAACCTTTTTTTTTAAATTAACTATGTCCTTACAGGGCATCCTTGCCGGTATTACGCAAGACGACATTACATTTACAGAGAATGTATTTCCACCCACCTATAAGGGGCCCAAACAAGCTCTTAGGTTTGACAAATCACGCAGACAAAATCCCAGCTAGCAAGCGACGTTGACCCGACGTTGGTTGAAGGTCGAAAAATTACGTTGGCACAACGTACTTACACAAAGGTTGGTGCGACGGCCGTTTTTCCATCGGCCCAACGTGGATTCAGCTGGTTGGAAAGACGTCGGCCCGACTAGTTGGATCTACGTTGGCCCGATAATGTTTGTGCAACGTCGACCAATCACGTTGGCCCAACGTACCTTTATGATGTTGCCTAGACGTTCATTTTTCCATCGGGCCAACGTCGATTCAGCCAGTTGCAAAGACGTCTATCCGACTAGTTGGATCAACGTCGGGCCGACGTTGGTTGAAGGTCAAATAATTACGTTGCCATTGGCATAACGTACTTACACAAAGGTTGGCCCGACGGCCGTTTTTCCATCGGCCCAACGCCGATTCAGCTTGTTGGAAAGACGTCAGCCCGACTAGTTGGATCAACGTCGGGCCGACGTTGGTTGAAGGTCAAATAATTACGTTGGCACAACGTACTTACACAAAGGTTGGCCCGACGGCCGTT